GGACCTGGGTTTGGTTCCCAGTACCCACATGGTAGCTAACAACCATCCTGAAACTCCAGTTCCAAGGGATCTAACACCCTCTTCTGACCTCACTGGTGTTGCATGACATGGTTGCACTTACCTACATGCGGGCAATACATGCATACACATAAAATAAAAATAGTAGATAAAATTTAAAAAAAAACCTGTGCTTTGGGAATCTTAAGTAATAGACTATTTGGGTATATTTCATATTTATTTTGTAAAGCACTTATAGTTTTGGAAACTTCAACTTACATTAAAGTAGCACTAGGGATACACACACACACACACACACACACACATCTTACTTGCAATAAAAATAAATTGAAAACATTTTCTAAGAAGTTAATTTTGTAAATTTTCCCAACGTTTTTGCTTAGTAGAACACAGACTGTGACAATTTTCTCAGAGTCTTTACTATATGATGGTGTTTAGCTGACAGTGGCGGAGATTAAAACATTAACTTTTTCATCATGATTCACATGAGAACTAAAAAGCAGTTATTAAGTTCCTTCCACAGGACAGATGATTAGTTTCAAAAATTTACAATTTGATATCTAAGAGCTGCATAGATGATAAAGTAACAGAATGGATGGCAAGTTCAAAGCAGTGTGCATAGTTAGTATTCAGAGAACCATATCAAGTATTTTTCATGGTTTTGAAATGGGTTTCAAGACTGAAGTTAAATTGTTAAGGGGCTTTTAGTTTACTTTGTCTATGTAATCAGAATCTCCAGTATAAATCAGGTTGATGTAATGGTTATGATAGTTCAAAAATTTATGGAAGATGTTGTAGAAATTGGAAACTCTTGGAAAAACCAATTTAATAATTTACCTCAGGTTACATAAGTCCTTTAGTTTAATCTGCAACTGCCAAAATAAAAAACAAATTGAATCAACTGTAACTACAACACTGTACTTTATGAGTATCATACAGGTATTTACCACCTTTGTGTCATTTGCTATTCTTGTTTGAAGTGGATTTTATCTTTTGTCTGCTATGAAAGCAGTAAGTTTTGTATTGGATCTTTGAATAAGTTTACTTTCAGGGTTGTCATTTCCTTAATTTATAGCACATTTGAGTGATTTTCTTCTAATTTAATCATCACTGATGATGATGTCCTGTGATTATGAAGACGATGGCATAATTTTAGTTTTGGTCGGGGTGGTCATGTAACTTAACCAGTTGGGCACTTTTGAGAGTGAAAAGGAGTGACCTCAGAACAACAGGTGTAAATTAAGACTGACTCAGGCAAACCAAGGTTTGCATTCACCTAATTTGGATGCATTGATGGCAAGTAACAGAAAACAAAAATTAACTTAGTAAGGGAAATACTTGTTTGTAGGTGCTGCATGTGTGATTCATTGAGGACTCTGCCTTTTTGTGTGTGTGTTTTCTAGACTGCCTTCTGAGGCTGGCTTCTCTTCTAGTTGGTGGATGGCTGCTTGGAATAATCTGGGCTATATCCATTATGATCATCAGAAGAGAGGATCCTATTTCTCCCACAAACATAGAATGAGCTTGAGCATTGTCTGGCCTAATGCCAGTGCCAAGGCGAAAGTTATGTGCTGATATTCTTAAGTATGAGATATCTGAGTATCAATGAAATGGGAGAATAGAATTACAAGATTCTTTTAGAGTAGTTGGAGTCCATTCAGGAAACTGGTTTAAGATCATTGTTTCTAGGAAAGCTGTGCAGCTGAGGGAAGGGAAAGAAATTGAGAAAGCACTATGTTCTATATAGAGTCTGGTGTAGTTGTTTGCATTTTCCCTTAGGCATCGATTGATGAGTTTTTCCAACAGCCTACAATGCTGGGATGAAGTATGTTTTTATTTTTGTTTTTTTTTTCTGTTTAGTTTTTTTTTCCCTCAAGTGACAATTTGTAGCATAGAATGACTTACTAGCTTAACTGAGTGTAGTGATTCAAGAGACTACTGAGGCAGATTAGTGGGGACTAAGGAGTTTATTAGAAGAGTTATTAATGTCGTGGACAGACAGATGGAAGGGCAACAGCATAGTGAGGGCTCTGAAGAGAATCAGAGCCAATGTGGTAGAAGAGGGACCCTCTTCTTAATCTCTTTTGAGGATGGGGGAGGTTCACATCAAGAGCAGGCAGTCAGGCATTCTGATTCCCAGGCAGAAGGCAGAACAGAAAAGATGGAGGGAACAGAAATTCACTTCCCTTGTAAGTGGTTTGATCACCTGCAAGTCTGCCAGCTCTGGGCTCACAGACAATGTCCTAGTAGAGTGCCTGTCAGTATCTGTGAGTGGAGACTGGATTCTAACATAATTCTTTTTTTTTTTTTTTTTTTTTTTTTTTTTTTGTCTTATTGAGACAGGGTCTCCCTGTACTCGTTATGTAGATCAGGCTGGTCTCAAACTCACAGAGATCCTCCTGCCTCTGCCTCCTGAGTGCTGCGACTAAAGGAATGGGCCACCATGCCCAGCCTCTAACATATATTCTTACAACAGGAGAGAAAAAGAAAACTTACCGAGTTTTTCTCTTTTTTTAAAAAATTAATTTTTATTTTATGTGTATGAGCATTTTGCCTGCATATAAGTGTACCATGTGTGTTCAGTGCTGTGGAGGCCAGACAAGAGAAGCTGGGAACTGAACCTAGGATTTTTGCTAGAGCAGCCAGTGCTCTTAACCACTGAGCCATCTCTCCAGCCCCTACTATATTATTTTTTAAATTGCTTTTTATTTACTCATATTTCCTCCCAACACTGATCCCCCCCCCAGATGACTAATTCCTTGAAATAAATCTAACAATAAAGCTCTAAATTTTTTTTGGGGGGGTTGTCTTTTTTTCTTTGAGACAGGGTCTCCTTGTTAGCCCCAGCTGGCCTGGAACTCGCTATGTAGACCAAGCTAGCCTCGAACTCTCAGAGATCCACCTGCCTCTGCCTCCCGAGTGCTGGGATTAAAGACATGCACCACCACATCTGGCTTTATCCTGTAATATTTTTTTTTAATCTTTAAAAAAAATTATTATTTTTATTTTTTGTGTATGCATGTATTACATGCCTGTAGGTAAGTGCACCTGTGTTGTGCAATTCCTGCGGAGGTCAGAAGAGGCTGTCCGTTCCCCTGGGACTGGAGTTATGGACAGTTGTTAGCTGCCATGTGGGTGCTGGGATTTGGACCTGGGTCTTCTGCAAGAACAACCAGTGTTCTTAACCGCTGAGTCATCTCTCCAGCACCCCGTTATAATTTTTAAAAAGCACTCTGTGTGCGTGTGTGTGTGTGTGTGTGTGTGTGTGTTCGTGCATGCATGTGGAGGTCAGAGGACAGTTTTCAAGAATTGGTTCTCTTTTCCACAGTGAGTTTCTGGGATTAAACTCAGATTATTCAGGTTTGTGCAGTGAACACTTTTACCTGCTGATCCTCTTACCAACTCTGACGATAATTATTGACTGTATTTATTTTTCATAGACTAATAGGGATGCCAAAGGAAAAATATGATCCTCCAGATCCTCGCAGAATTTATACCATCATGTCAGCAGAGGAGGTAGCCAATGGGAAAAAATCTCACTGGGCAGAATTAGAAATCTCGGGTGAGTGGAATCTGAAGCATTTTTTTCTGGGACATAAAAGTAATAATGAGCAAGAATTTTGTTATGGTTATAATTCATTGTAGATGCTTAACTGACTGAACTAATTGAGAATATGTAAGACTGCTGAGACACTGTATTTCATTTACTTATTCTAAATGTTTTCCTTTTCTTTGAGATTGCCTTAAGCAAGTGTGACCATAGAAGTTAAAGATACTGAGAGTTCAGTTTCTAGGTAAAACTGGGTTCCAAAATACAATAAATTTTTTTTGACTGTTCCAGAGAAATTTTTCAGTTTCAAATATGTGCTAATTGTGTACAGGACATTTTCAGAATTTGTTGAAGTAGAATGTAATTTGAAAAACTTTTTATAATTCCAATCTGAAAGTGAGAAAAGCATCAACCTCAAGCTAAGGACATTGTATAAAATACCTAACTAAAATGTTTCAAAATTATCAAGATCATGAGAATCAAGAAAAGACAGAAAGTGTCATAGGTCAAAGAAATTTTAAAGAAACATGACTAAAACAGCCTGAATTGAATTATGGAAGATATAAATATAAAAATGATAAAATCTGAATAAAATCTTCAGTTTAGTTAAAGTACTAGACCAGTGTTGACTTCCTACTTTTGATAAATATACCATGGTGTGTAAGATTCTAATGTTAGAGAATTTAAGCAAAGTACATATAAGAACCCTTTGTATTACCTTGGAAACTTTTCTGTAAGACTAAAATTATTATAAAGTTAAGTTTATTAAAAATAGAAGATAACTTTTTTCTTTTATGAATTGTTATAATACAGATTATATATAGAATGTAATTTTCCCTACTAGACTTTCATATGGAAGAGATAAGTCTTTATTTCAGTAACAGTAGCAAGACTTACTTGCTAAACATTTAGCTGAAAGGAACTGGGTGGATGGCTGAATGGATCATTCTGGTGTGAGCAGTTGCCATTAGGTTAATCTAAGATTTCTCAACCTTGGCATACTTAACAGTTTGGGCCATACAGTTTTCTTGTGGTAGAGGGTTGTTGTGTGCATGTAGGATGGTTCGTAGGATCCTTAGTGTCTAGATAATGGTAGATCTGTGGTTGTGAGAATCCCTGGTCAAAGTCCCTTGACCAGAATCCCTCCTGTTGGAAGCCACTGTGTTAAATCATAGGTTAACATAAGTTTCTGTTTTACCCTGAGCCTCTTTACTTGAATATTTTGTTTTCCTACTAGAGTGTAAAATCTTGGTTGATACTTCGTATCTGATTATTACCACAGGAAAGAGCCTGTGGTAAACAGATCTTGGATAGAAGTAAAAATTGATTGCATTCTTCAGTAGCTATATAAAAAATAACATTTCCCTTTGAGATTTTTGTGTTCTTTACTTTCCATTGTCTCCCTTATCTAAATCTGTTTAGAAAATTATATTTAATTAAAATATCACTTTACTTGTAATAAAAAATAATCTTCATATAAATTATAATATATAGCCGGGCATGGTGGTGCATGCCTTTAATCCCAGTACTTGGGAGGCAGAGGCAGGTGGATCTTTGTGAGTTCGAGGCCAGCCTGGTCTACATAGTGAGTTCCAGGTCAGCTGGGGCTACAAGGAGACCCTGTCGCAAAAACAAAAACAACAACAACAAAATATCATAGTATATAATCAATCATTATAATAGGGCCTGGGATGTGACTCAGTTCATAGAATGCTTACCTAGCATTCCTGATGCCTTTGATTCAATTCCTAGCACCAAGTAAACTGGGTATGATGGTGCATGCTTGTAATCAGTACTTGGGAGGTGGAGGCACAAGGATCAGAAATTCAAGGTCCATCCACAATCACAGTGAGTTTGAAGCCAGCCTAGGCTACATTAGATCCCATCATAAAACAAAATGCCAACAACCTAAAATAGTTAAGATAACATTCCATTTTGTAAAAGCTAAGGGTGGATGATTTTCCCAGACTTACATAGCTAACAAATGCTAAAAATTAGGACTCTTAACCAGGTTTTCTGATGTAGTATGTGCTTTATACCCAGTTGCTGACAGACCTTGATATGAAACAATTTCCTTGAATATGTCCCACTTAATACAATATCTTATTAGAGCTGTTCATCCCTAATTATGTCAGAAAGTTAGGGGAAAATGTCTCCTTTGGGGGTGCAATGGTTTTTCTCAT